CTATCCTAGCTGACTCTTGCTAGAATATTTTTAATCAAGCAGATTTCCCCCCCTTTCACATATATAAAAACAGACTTTTCCCCTCCACAGATCAGCTTCCAATTTTTAAAAACATTTTCCTAACATATAATTATCATCTTCCAAAGACCCAAAAGTGCTGTCAATGTGACTGAAATCAGAATGTAAATATTTTATAAACAGCTGTCAAATCTCAATTGGCAGAAAACAAAAAGTCCCCGAATTGCTATAATCTAAGCATGAGGCTACATCATTTAATTGACAGATAAGTATTTTTTTAGTTTCCATTTTCCCATCAGCATTTTAATATATTAGTGTGGTGTGCCATTCTGGATATTCACTGTGACAATTTACTTGAAGATGAAATAAACTCCGAGATGCCTAACTGAAATTTAATTCTGATTCATGGAACACTTTTCACACTCTTTTATTAATATGGATCCAATATTGGTTTCAAGAAAATACTATTATTCCCATTTTAAAAGCCAAACTTTTATTCAGAGAGGCTTACTCATCTAATATTTTCAGTTTTTTGACTTTCATTAAAGAAGCATTTCTGATCATCTAGATGCAAGGCTTGGTTGATTAATCTAACCAAGCTTTAATATGCCAAGGCAAGAAATAAAAAGGATACTCTAAATAAATGTAAAAGCATTCTTAAAACTTTGCCTGAATCTCTTAAATTGTGTTCAAATTTTTCTATGTAGGGATTTTTTTTTCTTTTTGTGTCACACCCGATGATACTCCTAGCTCTACACTCTACACTCAGAAGCTACTTTTCTCAGTGCTGGAGGGGCTATAATAGATTCTCCATGCACTGCCAGGAATGATCCCTGAAAATGGAGTCAGTAGTAAGCCATGAGTACTGGTGGGTGTTGCCCAAACCCCCATTCCCTCAATACCCCCGACCTTAAAGATTTTAAAATAAAGTTAACTTGAGTGACTAGAACAATACTCATTTTGAGAGGGTAGTTAGGGATGGAGATTACAGCTGAGATCAGGACACAGAACCTTAGCTTTCTTGTGAAAAAGACAAAGAAACATTCAACTTAAAGGAAAACGAACAAATGGATAGGATGAAACAAGGATAGAACTAAGTAGAAACTGGATCATACTGGATGCACAAACTTTGGTGGAACATTTGGGTTTTACTATGAATTGAAAGAAGAGTGTTGAGGGATTTGAATAGGTCAAAGAAAAAGATTAGCACTGTAGCACTGTCCTCCCGTTGTTCATCAATTTGCTCGAGCGGGCACCAGTAACATCTCACAACAAATCGTGAGACTTGTTGTCACTGGTTTTGGCATATCAAATACATCACGGGTAACTTGCCAGGCTTTGCCGTGGGGGCAAGACACTCTTGGTAGCTTGCTTGGCTCTCCGAGAAGGGCAGAGGAATCTACCCCAGGTCGGCCCCATGCAAGGCAAACGCCCTACCCGCTGTGCTATTGCTCCAGCACAGAAAAAGATTATTATCTAGATTTTTTGGACACTGGTTATTGTGCTCAGGAAGGATTTTGGTGGGGGAAGAATAGAACCAGGAAGCTCATTCCATTGCGCAGATAAGACAGAATGATGACAGAAGAACAAAATAATATATCTAAGATATATCTGAAGGAAAAGAAAGATAAGAGGAAAATAACTGACAACTTTTAGGTTCAAAGACCAAAGACAAAACCTTGGCTGTAATGGATAAAATATTTCCATCCCTTAGCAAAGAACATACAAGTTATGCTAGTATTTTGCACTAGTAGGATATTATACTATCTCACATCATCAATTTACCAAAGATCTTTACCAAAGATCCAGAGAGATGAAGTAGACATTTTAAGCATCAAAAGAATTTGTTACCACATACATGTCTTATTTATTAGCCCAAGAACTTTTCTACTATGTAGCACATTATCCATGCCTCAGCTCAGTACCTTTTTCAATGCTAGCATGAGTTTTTTTTTTGGAAAGAAATTTCAAGAAATATGTTTCCCTCATTTTTTTATCCCGAGCTTAATAAATATAATTGTATATTTAAAAGAAAAATATTTAATATTCCATTAGTATGATGTTAAAAGCTAAAAGTTTGGTAGTCATAATTAGATCACTGAATTTTACTTTTATTCCAAAAGAATAGATATCATAATAAACTAAATTTATTTCATTTGCCCTCATAGGAGATTCCAGCTTATCCAACCAGAATTTTTACCTTTTTCTTTCTTTTTTTTTCAATAGGGAACTCTTGGTAGTACTATTGGGGACATGGGGGCAGCAAAACCATGGATAAAACTCTTGTTTTTGAATGTTCTAAATATGGGCACTATTACTTGAGCTATGTAATAAGCAACAGTACAGGTTCCTGACATGATATTATCAGGACCAGCATCGAGATAGCCAGAGAATAGGGAAGGGCATTTTCCAAGCAAGTCCAAGTTCAATTTTATCTTTTGAATTTATTCTCAGAGAATAACATTTATCAACAGCTCAAAGAATTTTGGAGAATAATAGTGAAATATTGTTTGCCCTGATGAACTATCGTGAAAGTTAATAAAGTATAGAAATGCATCTATCATGTTATCAGCTCAAATAAAAATGTTAGTGAACCAGTTAAGCATGAATTTGAATTTCTGCGATAGGAGACATAACAGTTTAGGAGTATATTTCTCTCATCCAATAGGAAATATGGTGGCAAGGCTCATAATAGCTCACTCAAGAATGTCATCTGGGCCAGATGATTCAGTGGGTAAGGTGCTTAACTTGCCCATAGCCAACACAGGTTTAATTCCTACCACCACAAATGGTCCTTTTAGCACTCTCAGGAGTAATCTCTAAACACAGACAGTAAGCTGTGAGCCCTGTTGGGTGTGGGTCAAAACAAACAGAAAGGAGTCAGGTTCCTTTTAAGTTTCTGCTCTAATACTCTTGGTTGTGGTTTTTATTCTTGTGACTATAAGATATGTACCTTACATGATTAAAAATAACCATACTTAATTTTTTTTTTGTTTTTTTTGGCTGGAGTTATAGCACAGCGGTAGGGCGTTTGCCTTGCAAGCTGCGGGTCTGGCCAAGCCAGGTTCGATTCCTTCACCCCTCTTGGAGAGCCCAGCAAGCTACAGAGAGTATTTTGCCCGCACTGCAAAGTCTATCAAGCTACCCGTGATGTATTCGATATGCCAAAACACAGTAACAACAAGTCTCACAATGGAGATGTTACTGGGCCTGCTCGAGCAAATCGATGAACAATGGGAGGACAGTTCTAACGTGCTACAGTGTTTACTGGGTCACACCCAGCAATGCATAGGTTTGCACTCAGGAATTACTCCTGACAGTGCTTAGGGGATCATATGGGATGGTGGGTCGGCCAAGTGCAAGGCAAATGCCCTACCTGCTGTACTATCGCTCCAGCCCCCAAATTTTAAAATTTTTATGTATTTTATGTTTTGATATCTTTGAAGCTAGCAGGAAATGGAGAGATGAACTTTTCAGGTTATAGCCAATTCTTAAGGACAGCAACTATGTTAAGAACACATATTTCATATATAAATCAAATAATTCTGGTAATAATAGTCCTAACCAACTATCTAATTCTCATTACAAGTTATTATTTCCTATGTTATAAATCAATCTGGAGTCTGATTGAAGGCAACAAGAAACTACCCTTAACCCAGAGCTACCAAAATATATTCTAACCAACATATCGTAGGCTATTAACAATGTCCCGACTTTCCTTTCCTACAAAAATTCCTAAGAAAAACTTTGACCTAATATCCCTCTTTATCCTGTTTTCTGTACCATGGTCAAACCTGGTGCTTCCCCATGTGACCCTTGAGTGGCAAGAAATGCCTTTTCTTAGGAAATTATTTTTTGAAATTTTTATCTTTGTGACATCAACCATTCGATTTCTTAAATTAAAAGTTTGAGGCTACAAGTTTTAGAGTATCCTTCTAAGCAGGAAGATGTGGTAAACAAAGGGAAAAATCAAATGCAAATCCCTCTTGAAATCTTTAATTCAGGATACAAATTAATTCCGTAAGTGGAACCCTTTCACAAACTCATCACTCAGAGTTACTTACTAGCACTGCCCACATGTTTGGAGAAATAGAAGTTGAGAAGACAAGGATTTTTAAACAAAGCACTTTGCCATCCTTCAGAAAAAACATCAGAACTATTTTCAGAGAGGTAAAAATGGAAAAATGAGAGGGGGCAGAATATCAGTACTATATGTTGGATAGACAGTATCGATGATAACTGAAAAAATTGAGCTTTTTATCCCTCTTATTTATATTCTTAATGGTCTTAACAAAATTTATGCAATATAAGCCAAGTGATATTTTTTTAAGCCAACCACCTTAACATGAGACCACAACTACCTAAAATGATATTTTTTAAACATCTGTAAAATTAGACAAACTATAAAGTCCTATGTGTTCAAATAATTTGGGCAGGTGACTATTGAATATAAAGAAACAGAGCAAGGTGATAATGATTGAAAAATGGTAACAAACCCTGATTACAGAACAGAGGGGATAGGGATGGAGATGGGAGGGAACCTTGAGGCACAGATGAATGATGTTGACAATCTAGTGGTGAGTGTGGCATTAGAGCAGTATATGCCTGAATCTCTATTATTACAGGTACTGAAAAATCATAGTGCCAAAAATAAATTTGAAAAATAAACTGAAAAAACCTACTTCCACAATTAAGAGAAAGTATTTAAATTAAATTTACATAATATTTTAATAAACACTTTCACTGGAATTTTGAATCTGATGAGCAAATGAGCAAAAATTATCTTTAGAAAGCAAAGAAAATTGACTTGTTTATATTTATAGTAAGATGTGCATAGTAGCAATTATAAACTGTATTGAAAGACTCAGAATTCATATTCATCCTTAATCTTACATATTATACCATATTAACACCTTTTAATTTTATTTTTGATTTTGGGCCACACTCAATTTTTTTTAAAAGCAAGGAAAACAAATAAGTATCTTATATTACCTTAGCAGAAATTCTCAATGTCATTTATTTGGCCTCTAGTCAGAAAACAGGTGCTAGAAAAAAAAGGAAAGGAAATCAAATTAACATATATCCAGGACTCTGAAAAAGAGAAAATCAGTAAAATACACAATATGATTAAATAAAATGCAAGAATATCTTGTACTATTATGCAAAATGTTATCTCACAGGTCACAGGGTCTATTTCCTGTAACCAATGATAACAAAGGTGGTCAGAAAGAGACCAATGCCAAAGAAACACATCTATTGACTTGGTGCAAAAGAATCTTTCTACACTTCCACTCCTCATGCCTGCCAAAGCTCCAGTAGCAATGAAGCGAAACAGCACAAAAAGAAGAAAGAATTAAAGAAGTATTTAACCCTTTAATTTTACATGTTAGAGATTGTGTTCTGTTTTAGCAAATGAAAAGTTCTATTTTCAAAGAGAAATCATAGAAATGATTCTAAGCTCCACCCTACTAGCTTCTCCCAGAAAATACTGAAGAATATATTCTAGCATCTATTAAAAACAGGAATTGAATCTAATTCTAACAAAATATCTTTTTTACCCCATTTTGGACACATCATTTGAATTCTTAAAGAGTACTTGATTTTAGACTTCCAGTCTTCAGGGCTGTGGAGAGTGCATTTCTGTTGTTTACTTTAAAAAAAATTTAAATAAAATGGGACAAGCGTTACAAAATCTGACATTTAGATCAGAACCTTCAAAAAGCATCTCCTTTACAAGCTTAAACTGAAGAAAGATAAATTAACCCTGTGTTCCATGGAGAGAAATAAATTTTTGTGAAGAATGTCCTTGAGGAGAGATGGGAGGAAGGAAGTGGAAGTGTTACTGGAGAACTTAAGGATGAAAACAGACAAGATATTATTGGATTCTTATGAGGAGCACCTTGAAGTTCTACAGAATGTGAAGGTGATGTCTGGTAACAGGAGGACAAGAGAGCTGTAAGGTGAGACGTCATGGGATTCTGGAGACTCATGTGATGAGATTTCCTCAGCAAGAATGAAAGTTGCTAACTGAATCCTCTGAGAGTTTGGTCTGTGGCAAGTAAAAAATGGACAAAAATGACCAGTAATTAAAAGAGATTTGTATTTTGGATTGAAGAAAAAAAATAAGTCATTGGTTCTCCCTCAGTTGGAGAAATCTTCTACCACAGAAAACAAACTACTTGGGTCATCTTGATTCCTCTTCCCTCCCTCCCTCCCTCCCTCCCTCCCTCCTTCTCTCCCTCCCTCCCTCCCTCCCTCCCTTCCTCCCTCCTTCCTTTTCTGAGTATTTGGGCCTTATTCAGTGATGTTCAGGTCTTATTCCTGGCTCTGTGCTCAGGTGCTTGGGAAACCATATGTATTACAGGGAATCAATCAAATGATCTGTGCCTGTGGACACACTCAGCCTTAGTTTCCCCGCATAGCAATAATTTTGTAAAATAGTCATCTCCAGCCAGGTTCTTTCTTAGAATTCACTTGTCACATCTTAGAATTCACTTGTCACATCTAAGGAAAGCACTTTAACCTTTGTACAATCTCTCCTGCCTCCTTCCTTCTTTCTTCAGATGGTCTCCTATTATTGTATATGGTTATTTATCAATAAATGTATCCTCTTCCTTTCACAAGAGGAAGTCAACCAATCTAAGCAATTCAGTTCCTCCCAAGAGGCATATTCTGACAAGTGAATTCTAAGAAAGAACCTGGCTGGAGATGACTATTTTACAAAATTATTGCTATGCGGGGAAACTAAGGCTGAGTGTGTCCACAGGCACAGATCATTTGAAATCAGGCTAATTTTCTTACAACTTCCTTGCTTTTTAAAATATACCAGAAATTTCTTACTAAATAATATTCAAAACAAGTAGATGCTAAGGAAAGACATCAACTATATTAAATCTCCAATTCCTACTGAAAAAGTGATAGGTAAGTCTTCAAGTATTTTCACTGGGAGGATATAGTCATATATGCCCCCAACGCTATCTAGAAATATAATTTGGACTAACTTGTAATTAGGAGCCTTAACATGTCCACATCAGAGATGGATTATTTTGAAATAAGTACACTCTAATACAAAATTAAGCTATCACATTAATAGCAAAGTGGAAAGAAAATAGTTCAGTCATTAGAGTATCTTCTAATGAAAATATTGCTCACTCAATAAATTGGAGAACAATAAATGTGGTTGAACACTCTGAAATTTACCTAAGTTTATTTAATGTTAGGCCAAGCAAAGCATTCAGTTTGAAAATCAACAAGGGAACTGGCTCTCATTCTAGCTTCAAATACATTCTATTAGAAATTAATTGCACATGACATTTATTTAGGGATGAGTTTCAACTCTTTGAGTCTAGATGACAGGCTTCTCTAGTTCCCAGTAAATACAGTTCAGAAAGGTTATATCATCACAATATGATTGGTGATTCCAGAGATTATTGTCACAATTATGTGGTTCACTAAATAAACAGCAAAACAAAACCAGAGACAGAATAGTAATTACAGAAAGTTGAATGAGAGATTACTTTCAGTAAATAAACAAAATCACTTTAATTTAGGATGTAAAGAGAAAGAGGCAGACTTTGAAACTATTTTAAGTAATTCTTTATTTCTGTCAGCTCACCAGGTATTTACAGAACACTGAGACCTGTGGTACTTTTATTATAATACTCTAAATTATTCAATTTATTTAAAACATTTCTGGAAACTAATAACTGCCTAACTCATAACTACTGTAAGCATACAGAATCTGTTATCTCCAGGTTGCTGCAAGACCTTGGAGTGTATGTTTTTGCACTCTAAACAAATTCATACTCATCTGATTGGACAGTGTTATATGTGTCCATAAGCTTGAAATAAAAAGGCTTAATCAAGTAATTTAACTTCTTATATTTAGTTGAAACTAGACCCCAACATCATAGGGATAATATGGAATATGCCCCCTTTTCTAGATACCAATATATTGTTAGTTTATAAACAGCTTTATTTGAACACCAAAATTAAAAGTGCTTTAACAAAAAGTGAATACTGGCATTTATTTTGTATTTTGAGAGTAGGGTCAATATAGCCCCACAAATGTACATATTATACTATGTCTTGTGTGTATTAACTTATTTCTTTGTAACAGCAGTCACTAAATAACTGTGCTTATTCACATGATGTGTCACACTTTAACTATTTCTATCAAAACCATCTTCTAATTTTCAGTCATTCCATTTAGAGACGAAGAGACAAGACTTAAAAGATGTAATAACTCTTATGAATGAACATTTCTAGTCTTTTGTAATTGAAGGAAAACAAAAATAACAGCAAATGAAAGAAGGTGATAGAATAAATGTTGTCTCCTGTGTGCCAGGCTGTTTATTACTCACAATTTAAAGATGAAGCTCAGGGATCAAATAACTGACTCAAAGTTGTCCAGTAAGTAATTGGTAAAGCTGATATACAAGCATGGATTCTTTTCATTTCAAGTCCTACATAATGGCAGCAGTAGCAACAACAAATATTTGCTGAAATGCTCCTAATATTCTAGGTGCTATTCCAAGTCCTCTACATAGACCCAATCATTTAATCATCAGCACCCTAGCCATTGCTTTCTGCATTTTATAGATAAAGAAACAGATGCTGACTCGTTGTGTGTAGGAGAATCACAATTCTAGGAGAGCCACTGAGACAAAACTGAGTTCTGCTTCATCGTTTCCCTCTATCATTCTCTTTGTATGCCTACTTATTTTACTTAATCCAAATTATAAAATTCACACCACTCCTGCTTTTAATGGGTAGAAAGCACAATTGATCTAGTAATATCTATTTCCTTTGTGAGGGATGGTTTGGGCTGTTTTGATATTCAACCAGCCTTGTTGAGAGCATCACAGTTCTTGTGGGTACCAAGTGCTCTGAGGAAGACATTCTACCTGCATCCTGAGAGCACATTGCTTGGGAAGAAAGGCAGCAAAGACAGAAGATATTTTAGAGTCAACAAAATCACTCATTTGGCAGACTTGCTGTCAGGATGTGTTGTCACTCTCCTTGACCACAGGGTCTAAGACGCTGGATGGGTGGGTCACTGCTTGAGAGGGATCATAATTTCTGAAACCCTGAGGCTGCCTTGTAGTTCTCAGATGATGGTAGCTATGGGGAGTCATTTGACAAGATTTCAGTCCAAGGCTGTGCTGCAGATGAGATTTGGTGTTCTAGGATGAGTGGATCCTAATGGAGAAGCCTATTATTAGGTTCCTTATTTTTGAAGAAGTTGTTTTGTGGTAAGGTTCATATACTTAATTTTACCTGAACAGTATTAAAAAAACTATTTTCGGTACCATGGTCACTGTCACTGTCCTCCTGTTTTTCATCAATTTGTTCGAGCGGGCCCAGTAACGTCTCCAACGTGAGACTTGTTGTTACTGTGTTTAGCATATTGAATATGTCACAGGTAGCTTGACAGGCTTTGCCATGTGGGTGAGATACTCTTGGTAGCTTGCCGGGCTCTCTGAGAGGGGCAGAGGAATGGAACCCGGCTCGACCAGGCGCGCTGTACACAAGGCGAAAGCCCTACCACTGTGCTATCGCTCCAGCCCAGGGTACCATGGTATTCAAACTATTAGTAGGATTTAATACATAAACTATTCCAGCACCACACCTTCTACCCATGTGTCAACATTCCTCTACCAATGTTCTGGGGTCTCTCACCCACCCTCTCCATCCCTGTAGTAAGCTTCCTAAGGAAGACAGGTCCTTGATTTCTGTTACCTTTGGACATTTATTATTTACCTATTCTGTTTCTTCATATCCTGTATATAAAAGAGATCAGTCTGTGTTTGTCTCTCTCCTGAATGACTTCACTTAGGATGATACTTCATCTGCTGGGCAGAACACTTCAGTTTTTCTTACAGTTGAGTAGTATTCTTTTGTGTATATTCCACAGTTTCTTTATTCAGTCACCTGATCTTAGACAACTTGAGTTGTTTCCAGATTTCGGCTATTGTGAACAGTGCTGTGGTGAATGTAGGAGCACAGAGGGGCGTCATTCAAATGCTAGCGGCTTCATCTATTT